GTTCACCTTATTTTGTAAATATGTAACATTTTCATCTTATTCTATAACATGTTCATCTTATTATATAACATGTTCATCTTACTATGTAACATGTTCATTTTATTATAGACTTGCGTCATCATATTCTAATAACATAAATTAATTATAAAAAATAATAAATTAATTGTATTCCAAAATCTATCAAATGTGGTCTCTATTTGTAGAGAATGAAAAATTATGAATTTTGATATTTTTATTTTTATTATTTAATATAAAATATAGTTGATAATTTAATTTATTTAATATGATATATAAAATTCATTAACCTATAAAAATAAGACACATGTCATTTAAACAATACTTACCTTGTCCTCTCTCTGCGCGTGAGCTAGAATAAATTGGACAACAATTTCAATTTAAAGTCACTCTCTTTTTCTTTACGTGTGTTCACTCTCTGTTGCGGCTGATTTTAATGGCACAGGGAATAATTTTGGTGGGGCCCACAGGTATGGGGCTGATTTTGCTGGTGATAGTCGTTGGAAATCAGCTTTTCTTGTGGAACTATCAGAATTTATTGGGGTGGATGCGGTAGAATTTCTTGATTGGTTAGCCGCTGTTGAATCCGCCCTCGATTATAAGGTCGTCCCGGATGATCGTCGTGTGGCGCTTTTTGTTACACGACTTCGGGGTCGTGTGGCTGCTTGGTGGCTACAAGTGAAAGGCGTGCGGCATCGTCAGGGAAAGTCCAAAAACACTTCGTGGTTGAAGTTTCGTAAGTATCTTGAACGTGAGTTTTTGCCGTTTAATTTTGTCAGAACACTTTATCGAAAATTACAAAATCTTCGACAAGGCCAGGGTAGTGTTGATGAGTATACAGAGGAGTTCTATAAACTCCTCGCTCAAGTGGACATTCGTGAAACACAGAGCAGCTTGTTTCACGATATATTGGTGGGCTCCGTATTCTGTCCAGGACACATTGAATTTGTTTACTCCCGTTTTTATTCCTGAGGCACATCAGCGTGCTTTATTGGTTGAGCAACAGCAGACCCGTCGGCCGACGTTGACTTTCAATTCGTCTCGACAGCCTTCAGCTAGTTTGTGGCCCCGGACAAACTATTGGGGCTTGGGACTTGGTACTATCCTAAGAGTGCCAAGGTCCTAAAGATCCGAGCACAAAGGTGCGAGGTGTCGACTAAGGGAAGGATGCGAGTTGGGCGCGTCCTTGGGCCGAATGTCGGGCTCAGTCGGGTCTTCATGAGGCGACGAAGACACATGTGCGATACTTAGCAATATTTGTCCAAGTATTGGTTCGGATCATGTTGGTTGGATAAATCTAGGGCTCGGTTGGACGAAGGTTACTGCGGGTTGTGTATGGCCTTGCAGTTACATGGTTGTACTCTAACGAGGATATTGGCTAATCAAACAATGCATGGTCGAACTTAGGGGTGTTCGAGCACGAGAGTGTTCGGATGATGCAGCTCGATGGGCGCGTGCGAGGGTGGCGCCGCGTCTAAGCCGTTGGCGGAACGGTTAGAATTTGAAAGGGCAGTTGGGTTGCACATAGACTAGTCGGTTACTATGTCCCACGTGGCCTAAACGGATTAATTCCTTCGAGTTGCATGGCCGAGTGGAGACAAAGGAATTCAGGGCACGTGGCTGGGCAGTTTCTAGGTGCACGTGGCCGAGACGGTTTTCTAACCTGCGGGTATGGAGAAGTTATGAATGACGGTTGGCGCACGTTGTTGCATGAGCTAAGTTGGCATCAAGCGGATGTGAGCACGTACCAGGGAGCAGTTGAGCACAAGTGCCAAGCAGTTGGTACTGCGGGTCCGAGGCCTATAAGTAGGCCGAGGCCGAGACAAACATATGCACAGGAATATTAAGCGTGATTAAGCGAGTGACCATGATACACACTCTGAAAGAACTCGGAAAGAGCAATCCAAGGGAGATAGCTTAAACACGAGGGTGCAAGGCAAACAAACGAGTGAGCTAGTGTGCGAGCGAGTCTTTGTACTGTATAGTTGTAGATGCGTGAGTTGGCATACACTAAGTGTTATAGCAAGCGCGTGTAAGACCAATTTCTATAAGGCTGGTACTTGTATTCATGTATGTGCTTGCGTGCACAAGAGTGTGGGTTTGAACCGTGTACGCAAGTTGTAGGATTTTTCATTGTACTTTGTGTTATAATAGTACATGGTTGGGCGTGAGCCCGTAATATTGCGTGTCACTTATTTACTTGACAGTCTTCTGCGTGCATGTTTGAGTGACGTGCTTGCATAACCTCGATTTATACTTGTATGGGCGAGCGAAGGATCGAGGTACAGTGAAAGACTGACTAGTTTGTGGTGAACCAGGCCACATAGGGTGCAAAGGGGCGAAAAATTCTAGCCTAAACCTAGACCCTGTGACAAGTGGTATCAGAGCCAGGTTGGGTTCTGATTGTTGATCGTGTTGAAACAATGGGCAATTCTAATTGACCCAATCAACTCTTGATGACCTTTGCAGCACGGATACAAAGGCTGGAGGACATGATGGGGCAACTGCCTCAAACACCTCTGTATGTAGCGGTCTTCGAGCGTCTACAGACAACTGACGATGCGCTCGTTGACTTAAGCAAAAAGGTGGACGCTATGAGAACCTCGGTAGAGTCGTTGCCTGAATTTGTTGAAGGGCGGATGGATTCTACGCGAGATGAGTTCATTTTACTGTCGGAAGCAGTTGAGTCCAAGATCACGAAGATCCAAGACAATGTGGCCCTGCTGAAGCGAGTTGGCGCGAGTGTGCTCGCGGAGCAGCGCCAAGTCCCATTGGAAGTCCGAATTCCAGATCCTAAGACGTTTGATAGCACCCGAGATGCCAAAAAAGTCAAAACTTTTCTTTGGGACATGGAGTCGCATTTCTATGCAGCCAGAGTCCAGGACGACAAGAAAGTGTCAATTGCGAGTATGTTCTTGTTGGGGGACGCAAAACTCTGGTGGCGCGCGCGAGCGTCTGATGACATGAGTGCTAATCGAGAAGGGATCAAAATGTGGGATGCAATGAAGCGAGAGTTGAGGGATCTGTTCCTGCCTTGCAACACAAATTTGATTGCAATGGAATCTCTAAGAAACCTGAAGCAAGATGGTGCGGTTCGTGAGTATGTCAAGGACTTCAGCTCCTTGATGCTCGACATAAGCGAGATGTCGAAACAGGACAAGTTGTTCAATTTCATGGCTGGATTACAAGTCTGGGCCCAAGCCGAGTTTCAGCTGCAAAGGGTGAGTGACCGAACAACGGTGATGGCCGCTGCCGAGCGCCTTGTCGATTCAAGGTAATTGGTTCCTCTGAGAAATTCAAATGTGGAAAGCACCGAGAGAAGTCCGGCAAGGGGAGTAGCGGTACACCCCGTGAGACGTTCAAACAACCTACGATGATGGACCGAAGTCGCGGCTGTTTCTTGTGTGATGGCGACCACTTATTGAAGGATTGCCCAAGGAGGAACAAGGCGAAAGACAACGCCTTAGTGATAAAAAGCGGAGCATGCGACGATAAAGGCACGATTGG